TTGGATTTAATTGACTATTCAATATCTGATATTCGTTATTTGCATCACGTGACTAATGATTTACGAAAACCCATTATCGGACTTAACACCCTATTTTAGCGATATTTCCGAGAGAGTATAAATTTGTAAACGATCTGGCGCATAATGACTCATTTTATCTTTATATGATGTAATAATGACAAAAAAACCACTATACAACTTGCCTAAACAATAGCACGTACAGGGGATGAAAGGAAAATAGAAACTGTTCCTATGCAATTTATTAAAATTTTTTTTTATTTTGAATAAAATTCGATATTGGTAAAATTCTTGCATTTACTGTACGTATTTGATAATAAATATCAATAGATTTATGTTGGCGTGTGAATCTGAATTACACGCCTATAACTACAAAAAAATTACTTTATCGCGAGCATGTGAATGGTATTTCGATTTAATTGGGCTAACTTGCGTGCGGTAAATAAGACTTTATTTTGTTTAAGTGTGTGTTATTGACATGCAGAACCTTTTTTCGGAAACTAAAACATGTCGGAATGCGAATAACCAACAAAATTACGAGCTTTAGTAATGGAACAGCATAAAATATAAATAAAGAATTTGAAATCAAATTTCTTTGATGTGCTACTCACACGTTCTTCTCATATTCTTAATTAAGGATATTACAGATTTTATTGTTATTTTATTGGTAATAAGAAACAAAGAGAAAGGGAACAATACGTATCCTCAATGAATTCCATAAAAAGAAACAACTACATAAAGAAAATCTGAAACTGTTTGTATCTCTATAGAAATTGCTTCGACAATTATGTACTTGGAATTTCCTTATCGTATACGTAACATTCTTATTTGTACGTAATATTTTTTACAATCTTTATTTTGGTATTCTACTTAATCATAATACAATACAGTAATAAAGGTTTATTTAATCACTGAATAAATATAAATTTTGGAGACCAATAATAAATTATTTTGCTACTCTCCCGATTATATCATTTAACTTCTATTGCACAGATATCATAGACAAACGATTATTTATCACCTGCATGTCCCTGTCGAGCATTAATCTACGTACGTACAATAATTGTTATCAATGAACTATTAAAAAAAATTTCATTTAATATTTAATCTAAGTTATTTTAAAAGAAAATTTGAATAACACATATTTGTGTAACTATTCCATATTTTATTGGTAATAAACATTGTTAAATTCTACGTATCAATTTTTATGCCCGTGCTTTACATGCTGTATAATGATCATTATATGCTAATAGGGTCTGATCAATCAATTTAATCCTTCGTTTACGTAGCATTTCTCAACTTTATTTTTCTATTTTAAATTTTAAGACTCAATACTTATAATATTATTAACAAGCCAAAAATCGTAACATAGTCATTATGTATTGTATAATTTTACATTATTTATAGCTAACAGAATTATAGTATTTTTTCGGCAGTTTGTTTGTTTTTTTTTTTTAAACCCCAAGATAGCTATTATCTGGGGCGTCGAGTGACGAGATTTGTCCTCCCAATCCGTGAGATAGCTCGTACTCCGTTAAGTCCGTCATATGACGTCCCGGATCCCTAATACAGTTTGTTTTTTCAATGCCCCCTTATAAATTATATATTTGTTAAATTATGTATCAACTTGACCTAACCAAATGATAACGTACAAAAGTTATAATTGTAGTCATATTTCAATAGGTTTACAGCCTGCATAAAAAAAGTGAGATTAGGCACTCATTCAAATTAAACAGTATATCACGTAAATTTACTATATTCGTTAATATTAAATCATGTTCTTAATTATAAATGCTTGAGCATACTAAATACTCTTAATTTTATATTTTGTATTATATATGCAGAGAATGTGATTTTTCAATTGTTAATTTATGAATTTGTGAAATTTATTTAATAAAATTTAATTTTAAACATATATTTTAATTAAATATATATTAATATATATTAATTAATTAACAAGCAAATAATATTGCACATTTTGTATTATTACAATATATCTATTATTTTTGCATAGTTGACGGGTATTTAAATTTTATAAACTTATTTTTGTTATTATTTACTTAGTTATTTTTTTTTAATTATTATTATTCATAGTTATTAATTATATAGTTATTAATTATATTATTTATATTAAAAAAATTGTTTTTTTTTTGTTGACGAATAAAGTCCTGTGCAACCGAGCCACGAAAATGACTTATTGACAGGATCAGCAAAGTCATTGATGCTCATAATTAAGTTCTATTATAATGACCGAAGTAGTGCAGAGAATCTGATAACACGTAGACCTAAAAGCGTATTTAGGTAAAAAGTCAGTAATTAATGTATTTTAACCGCTAGAAGTCTTCACACTACGAAGAACAAAAATGTTGTCATTATTTATTTTTCATGCATTTGTATACAAACATAATTATGTTAAGAAATCTAGAACATGGGCTATACGTAATGAAAGCAATACAATGGCCATGATCAGCCTAAATTGTACGTTTTTTTTCAATATCATTTTCCTCTCGTACTAAAGTTAATAAATATTATCGGAATTCTAATCTTACAAATACCAAAATTAATGAAATAGTTATTTCTTTTTGGAACACAAGTGTATAATTGAATCTTTAAATTAAACTTTACGAAAGTTTTTCAGTCAACTGCATAAAATGAATCGTCTACATAACAAAATTTATGAACCGAATATTATGTTAAATCATTTTTAATGGCCAATAATTTTAGAATTGATTTCTAAGTTATGTATAGATCGGATCAGACTAGAGTGAAACTTGCGCATCCTTATCAAAATAATCAGTTCTAGACAAGTCTTATTACCAAGTCGTACAATTTTATCGGTCTATCCGGGCGAAATCATCTAATATTGTCGTACTGTAATTAGCATTGCAACATTACAAATAAGACAGATTTATGGTTACAGTAAATTGAATGTTACTATATATTAAATGGATGCAGATATGCAGATATCACTTAAATCCGAATTTATACTTTATACTAAAAAAAAAAATTTAAATGAGTTTTCTTTAAAAGGGAAATAAAGTATATGCTATTTATCTGTAAGTTTTCAAACAACAAGATATAGTAGTAATACAAAGCTAATAGAATTTAAACCTTTCGCCATGTGCATACCCTTAAATTAACTCTATTTACTCCATTTATAACTGCATATCTCGAAATCTAATGAATTTAATTTGATGAGCTTTAAACATTTAGTTATAATACACATGACGTAAACATCAACTAACTTAGTGACACATAATAATACTGTAAGTACGAAGATGTAACAAGATACTTTATTGTTTACATGTATTAATGCTATCTCTAGTGATATAGCGATATCGTAAATAATGCGCTACAATTAAGAATTTGCAGTTTGTACTTCAAAATAGCATAAAAGTTTACTTGAAGCTATTATTATAAAAGCAGGGCATTATAGATTTACTTTCATTAGTGAAATAACGTCTTCGATTCCACTGTCCTCGATTTCACTGTCTTGAAAGCCTACAAGTAAACACACTATATTGATAGAGTTTTTGTGTTGTTAACTGGAAGCTACTAGAACTCCACTAGAAGAAAATTAATAGTACTACTGGAAATTTACTATTACAAATTTCTACTGGAAGCCAAAATTAACAACACTGATATAAACTGGTTTTCACTATAACAAGAGTAACTTTTGATTTTTCCATCTACCAAAAAAATGGATCAAGCTAACGCTAATGGTGGAGAACAACAAAATAATCAAAATGCCGAGTTCGTCAAAAATATGATCGACGGCATAGATCCATTTGCTACGACTCAGAACACGAGAGCTCCACAACAAACCCTATCTTTGATAGAAGTATTATTTTGTGGATCTTCTTTTGCAGATTAACACCTGCAAAAAATGAAAATTACTTATTAAGTCGAATTGACGCTGGCGTCTATTCTCCAGATCGCTTCTAAAGGTTTTTTTTTTTTATCTTTTTACTTGTAGGTCGTTTCTCCTCGTAATTTATTCGTTTTCGTTTTCTTTATTCTCGTATTCCTTCCTCCTTTTTCGCTTAATTTCGCATGCTTTTGCAAAAAAAAAAAAAAGATATATATCGGCGGCTTTTCGAATTTTTTATCTAACTAGAATTAAAACTATTATCGATTTTGTTTAATTTTATTAATTTATTTGTAATTTTATTTTTATTTGTTAAGAAAACAACTATTATGTAATAAGCTTAATTTTTTTCAATAAGAACACTATAGTTTTTATTATTTCGATCGAAAAATAAACATATTTATGGTACACTAGGCATGACGCATAACATGGAAACCATTATATAGAGACAAAGAACTTTGTGATGTTACTTTTTATTCTTTGTCTTTAATGTCTATAAAATCCCAGATTTATCGTTGATTGAAATCTAATAAAGTTTCCTTTTTGTTAAGCAACACGGTATAGTAAAAATGTGTCCCTATCGTTAAATTTTCCGCTCTAATATCAAAGACAGATTACATATTCCGATTAATATTTAAAGACATTGGTTAATGTGTGACTGCATGGACTTTACAACCATGCTTTAGACTAACTACAATAAAAAGTGAATATATATGTGAATCAGTTTATAAAATAATAATATAAAAGACAATACATAATTTTATTTTTCAGAATATCAGACTTCTGAATAGTTCTGAATTCTAAATGAGATACTATATATAGATGCGGAAAAAAGTAAATCAAAGGCTGTGTGGGATTTTTTTTTTTGATGCTGCAGGGTAAGATTAGTTAGTACGTGATGATTGGTGTTTTAATAAGCATTGTTACAATATGATTTTTTTGACGATACTTGTACAGTATTTAAGGAAATCAACTAACAGCATACAAATAAATCTTTAGCAGTTTGTTTTAAATTCGCTGGCTAAATTACAATAAAAAAAAAATACTGTTAATTTTATATATTCATACAGCTGTACTACTTGTTTTTGATTGACGGAATTTGCTTTGGCAAATATTTAATTTTGCCTTGGTACCAATAATTGCAAGCTGTGTACTTTATAAAAAAATCAGGAGTATGGGTCCAGAACTGTAACTTTTAACATGGTAAATAAAACTTCATTGGTTTCAATATTTTCATTGCGGCGGAGATAACGAAAAGAATTGAGAAAAAAAAAGAAAAAAAAAGCACTTTTTTTTTCTTTACTAAAACAAGGATTAAAATCTATCTTTGGATTATGCAGTGTGTATCAGAAAAGTTGGTTGCGCATATTAAAGTATTTTTAGTATTTTTTTAAAATATGGGAGTTACAGATTTTCTTATGTTAATCATTCATCGAGTTGTGAATGAAGTAATTTTTAGCCATTTGATTGACTATCATGCTGATTTAGGGCTATTTAACAAATTATCACGTGAAAGTTATTCTTATTGTTTAACGTTAAGAGAATTAAAACAATGAATAATGCATAAGCATGCTAGATAACTAATGCTTCAATGTTTTTATGTTTCACAGACCCTTGCGATCTGCAAACAATCTAAGTGAAAAATGGAATCTTACATTAAGATCAAGTTTTAAGTTAGGAAATAACGCATGCTAAAATTCTGTAAGAAAATTTTTTGTAATAGCGCAGAATATTATTTCAATAGGCAAGATTTAAGTTACTGTCGATTTTTTAAAAAGCGCGCTCTATGATCATGTGATGGATGATCCGTGGAAATATACCCGAGGTACAGGGTCTTAACCTATACCTAAAAATAAATAAATTTAAATTTAAGTTTAAAATAATCATCACGTGCTAACTAACCTTAACTCTAAACTAACTAAAATTAAAAACAGGATAAAAGGCTATACTTTGAATATTTTCCGCATAGCGCTCAAACCAAGAAGTTTTTTTGCAAATCTTAGCTTTTATGAATAATTTGATACATATTAATGCATACCTAATAAGAAAAAAATTATTTATATATTGATTTATAATAAATCAAAAAATATGTATTACATGAAATCAGTAGAACCGCACTAAATTGGACTACTGTAAGTAGTATTTCTTAGCTAAATATCATCATTAATAAAGAGAAAAAAGGACGAAATTCAATGAACGTAGAGAATAGGAGAAGGTAGCAACTTGGCCTAAGCTCTTTCAAAATCCAAAATCTCCGAAATTGCGAGCTTCCGAAACATTCCGAAATTTGAAAAATATATTGATAGTGAAGTAAGATCGTCATTAGGTTCAAAAAATTGCTTTTTATAATTTACAGAATATACCTATATACAGTAAAATTCAATCTATTCCTTGATGACCAAATTTAATTTAAACACCGATTGTTATCCCTTATAGAACAATAAACTGATTTATCGATAAATTTGTTCAAATTCTGTTTTTAATTTTAGTTATAAATAAAGTTGAAATATTTAGAAAAAGAAGGTTTGTATTAACTTTTCTTGCATAGTATTATGTATACTAAACCTATAAAACTTACGTAAGCAAATATTCAAGCCTTTGACATTTTTTCGAAAGTTTTCTTGATGAAATAAATTTCAATAACTTAAGAAACTTATAGTACATTAATTATTAATAGCTCATAAAATACATTTTTCGATAAAATTAAATCTTTATTGATATTAAAATTAGTCTCGTTTATTCAGCGAAAACAGATATTATTCAGAGATTAATGACAAATAGTTCTTCACGGACTAAAACGTTACCTGACTAATTTGCTTCTATTTGGATTTAGTTGTTCATTCAAAGTTGCAGAACAAAGTACACATTCGTTATTTATTCACGTGACAGAATTGCACATCGGCTAACATTCTATTTTTGGTAAAGATACAATGACATTGCATCGGAGGTGTTTAAATACAGAAATAATAAATGATTGGGCGTAAATATAACTAATTTGTCGATTTGTGTATTAATACGTAATAAACATACGTGGATAAAAGTAAGAGCCTATTTAAATTTCCATAAAAAATACGTACGTACGAATGTACGAACGTACATTTAAGGAAGTCCTTTTTATAAAAGTAAAATGGTATGTTCTTGTGTTTGCTTGATATAATTTACCAATAGTTGTACCAATAATTGAAAAATCTAGACTCATTTCGACGCATTTCACTTCACTGAGTCATTAGTAACAGGTGTATATATTTCTAGTAACTTGTCACTTGGCATGATATCGACTAAATGAGCTGTTGGTGAAACGATTGTCGATGAAGTAAGGTGGATCCTTTATGAATGAAATATTACTCGAGCACGCGAATGGTCAATAACTTGCATGCGGGTAAAATAATGCAGGTTTTTTTTGTGTGATATTACATACAGGATCTTTTTTAGAAAAGACATTATCATACAGTATTCAAAATTGCGAGTTAATTAATGGAAAATATAAATAATGAATTTGAAATCCAATTCTTTTGGTGTGTTACTCGCATGTTCTTCCATGTGCTTAATTAAAACAATGAAAAGAGACAATTACCCTATTGAAAATTCTGTAAAAAGAAAGGGAAAAATCCGAAACTTCCGAATCTCCGTATAATTATATATAATTATTAAGTCACTGTAACAAATATACATTTTGATAGACCAACGTAAATGATATTTGCTATCCTTCCAATTGTGATTAAAGTTAATTTAATCTCATACAACTTCAATTTGCACAGATATCAGGATTTAGATATAATGGAGCTATTTCCCTGCATATCCCTGATGAGCATAATCTACGCGTAATACAGTAATTGTTATCAATGAGGCTATTTAGTGAAATTTCGTTAAAGATTTTCATATTGTAAGTTTAACTTTATTTCAAAGAAAAACTTGATTAACACATTTATGTAACTGTTCATATTTATTCATTATATTGTTTTGCTCTTTATTATAATAAATTTCGGACAAATCAATAACTGTTATGCCTCGTGCTTTACATGGTGTTGTATCATGTGTATATGCTAGCGAATAATAAATGTATATGAGTTATAATTGAATTATAGTTAAATTCAATTGGTTTACATCTTGAATACAAAAGATAAATTAGGCTTTTAATCAAAATTAAGCAGCCCACCAAAAAAAAAATTTAGTCACTTTTCATACGTACGAACGTACCATTAAGTCAGGTTCTTAATTATAAGTGGTTATCAAAGTTGCATATTTTCGTACCACATTTCTGCAATTTGTTTGTTTGTGATCGATTGTGACACGCACGTGAATTGGTGGTTTGTTTTTTCTTTCAAACACATTCATATATGTACTACATACGTACTGTACGTACGTAGTTGTAATAAGCATATATATATATGTATGTATTTATGCCAGGAATACATACATCGTCAAACGTTTATTAAGCTTGCAAAAAAATTTATTTCATATAAGATAATTGATAAACATTTAGGAACTCAATATAATATTTTAGTGTTTCGAAACAATTTAAAGGATGCTCATGCTCAAGTAGTGCACCTTTCGACGCTAGCGGTACAAATTATATTTTCTGTTCTCATTAACACATTCATTCATGCATAAAATTCTTTATATTTTTTCAATATAAACAAACCCCGCTTTGTCTTTGGTATTTTTTTTATTATTATAGAGCACCTATTTTGGTCTTATTGTGATGCTATATTTAGCTTAACAATTATACAAGTATACTTACGCGCTGCTCATTTCACCGACAGTCGTTTCACCGAAAGCTCATTTAATCGACATAATAAGGTTGGGGCTAGCATTTGAGCGGATTCATATAGTATTTTAAAACCATGTGGAATAAATGTAACTCTCAAATAAAATATTTTATTAAATCAATTATTATAATTATTTAATTATCATTTACTCAACGCATTTGTCAAACATTTTTAATACTTTCTGGCAGAAATTGTTGCCATGTGGTAATTCTAGAATTTTTTCTTGTATACCAAAACTCTTGGACATATTTCTCAATTTACATAATATTCCTTTACCAATTATTTTGTACGATTGTTACTGTAGGTAA